AATTAAACTCTTCGGGGAAGAACACCGAGACACAGCCAAAAGTTACTTTTCTATCGGAGTAACACAACATGCTTTAGGAAATTTCTCGTCAGCACTTCAGTCCTATCAGCGTGCTCTTGACATAAGAGTTAAACTCTTCGGGGATGAACACCGAGACACAGCCGAAAGTTACTTTTCTATCGGAGTAACACAACATGCTTTAGGAAATTTCTCGTCAGCACTTCAGTCCAAACAGCGTGCTCTTGACATAAGAGTTAAACTCTTCGGGGAAGAACACCCAGACACAGCCGAAAGTTACTTTTCTATCGGAGTAACACAACATGCTTTAGGAAATTTCTCGTCAGCACTTCAGTCCTATCAGCGTGCTCTTGACATAAGAGTTAAACTCTTCGGGGAAGAACACCCAGACACAGCCGAAAGTTACTTTTCTATCGGAGTAACACAACATGCTTTAGGCAATTTCTCGTCAGCACTTCAGTCCATACAGCATGCTCTTGACATAAGAGTTAAAGTCTTCGGGGAAGAACACCAACAGACAGCCGAAAGTTACTTTTCTATCGGAGTAACACAACATGCTTTAGGAAATTTCTCGTCAGCACTTCAGTCCTATCAGCGTGCTCTTGACATAAGAGTTAAACTCTTCGGGGAAGAACACCCAGACACAGCCGAAAGTTACTTTTCTATCGGAGTAACACAACATGCTTTAGGAAATTTCTCGTCAGCACTTCAGTCCTATCAGCGTACTCTTGACATAAGAGTTAAAGTCTTCGGGGAAGAACACCGAGACATAGCCGAAAGTTACTTTTCTATCGGAATAACACAACGCGCTTTAGGAAGTTTTTCGTCAGCACTTCAGTCCTATCAGCGTGCTCTTGACATAAGAGTTAAACTCTTCGGGGAAGAACACCCAGACACAGCCGAAAGTTACTTTTCTATCGGAGTAACACAACATGCTTTAGGAAATTTCTCGTCAGCACTTCAGTCCTATCAGCGTGCTCTTGACATAAGAGTTAAACTCTTCGGGGAAGAACACCCAGACACAGCCGAAAGTTACTTTTCTATCGGAGTAACACAACATGCTTTAGGAAATTTCTCGTCAGCACTTCAGTCCAAACAGCGTGCTCTTGACATAAGAGTTAAACTCTTCGGAGAAGAACACCCAGACACAGCCGAAAGTTACTTTTCTATCGGAGTAACACAACATGCTTTAGGAAATTTCTCGTCAGCACTTCAGTCCAAACAGCGTGCTCTTGACATAAGAGTTAAACTCTTCGAGGAAGAACACCCAGACACAGCCGAAAGTTACTTTTCTATCGGAGTAACACAACATGCTTTAGGAAATTTCTCGTCAGCACTTCAGTCCAAACAGCGTGCTCTTGACATAAGATTTAAACTCTTCGGGGAAGAACACCCAGACACAGCCGAAAGTTACTTTTCTATCGGAGTAACACAACGCGCTTTAGGAAATTTCTCGTCAGCACCTTCAGTCTGATCAGCGTGCTCTTGACATAAGAGTTAAACTCTTCGGGGAAGAACACCGAGACACAGCCAAAAGTTACTTTTCTATCGGAGTAACGCAGCATGGTTTAGGAAATTTCTCGTCAGCACTTCAGTCCCATCAGCGTGCTCTTGATATAAGAGTTAAACTCTTCGGCGAAGATCACCCAGACACAGCCAAAAGTTACTTTGCTATCGGAGTAACACAACATGCTTTAGGAAATTTCTCGTCAGCACTTCAGTCCCATCAGCGTGCTCTTGACATAAGAGTTAAACTCTTCGGCGAAGAACACCCAGACACAGCCGAAAGTTACTTTTCTATCGGAGTAACACAACATGCTTTAAGCAATTTCTCGTCAGCACTTTAGTTCAAACAGCGTGTTCTTGATATAAGAGTTAAACTCTTCGGGGGAGAACACCCAGACACAGCTAAAGTTACTTTAATCTCGGAGTAACACAACATGCTTTAGGCAATTTCTTGTCAGCACTTCAGTCCAAACAACGTGCTCTTGACATAAGAGTTAAATTCTTCAAGGAAGAACACCCAGACACAGCCAAAAGTTCTTTTCTAGGAGTTTGCTAGGATTATAGTGAAACTAGCACTCCAACGATTTTCTTTCCTAAAGGACTCCCGCGAAGGTGGGAAGTAACCTTAACAACTCAGTTGATAAAACCAAATTATCTTGCTATACTCTCCCACTGACGCAGCACCACAGTTTCTTTAGAAACTCACTCCCTTTAATGATAAAACCCAGTTGAAGGACTCCTTCCCTTTTAAGCTGTGTAGAAGAGTAAACCCCGGTCACTCTGGGAAGAAAAGTGACTCGGATTTGCAGAAAATTAAACGATTTTGGGAAAACTTGAAGGAACCATTTAGTCTTGTTTTTTTTCTTTAACTAAAATAAAAGATTTTTAACTTCACCTCAATGTTTCTTTTCAGAAACTTCATTAAAAAACACTTCTTGTCTTAATCTGAGTTTACTCGAGATAAAAATGTCATTTTTGACGTTTAAGTGACATGGGAACGAATTAGTTGAAGAGGTTCGCGTGGCATCATGGAAGTTTCGGATTACTCATTCGTTTCGCGGGAAAATTAAGTCATTCTAGGTCGGTCAGTCTTATGTTTGACCACTTTCTTTTCTGTATTTGTTGTAATTTACAATCATTGATTTTTCTTCCTTAGTACTAGAAGACTGACTGGCTCATCCTGAATAAACTTTTCACATTGAATTTATCGTGTGAGTGTTGTCAGAATGACAACTTTACATTAACTCTAGAATATGAAAAATAAGTCCCTAACTCTCAGATCCTGTCTCAACCCGTAAAAATTTTTTCTCATTTAAAATTTTAAAAAATGCACCTTAGGTTGAGGACATGAAAGATGTGAGAATACTTTTTCTTTACAAGCTGCATCAACTGCGTGCCAACGAATATTTCGACGAGGACTGAAAAAGACGGTTTCTCGCCTGCGGTGTTCAGGTCAAGATTAGAACAAATTACTCCTGTTACTGAATGATTAGTTAATTGCCTTCGTGTTTTGTTTTCTACGGCGAAATCTGTGGTAATAATGGGTAGCTGTGTTCGTTTCTGTTTACATAACATGTTATTTCTTATTTCTTTGGTTAATGCTCCAGAGTTTCGTTGCTGTAGAGTAATTTCCTTGGCAAACCAAAAGCTAACTTTTGACGAAATAATCATCTGTACCACGAGGCACGATGATTTTTCGCCTAAAAGTGATCGGGCAGTTTCACTGTAAACTGCTCCTTTCCTCAGAGATTGTAAAGGCAGAGGCCGTCGTCGTCGAACCGGTCAAACGAAAAACGAGTGAGTTTAAAGTCATCTGATTCAAGTTAATCTCAAATAGGGATTTTAATACAGAAAAACCTTCTTTAGTTTAAGTGCGGCATTGCCATGCGACCCATTTCGCACAACACTTGGATTCGCTACCATGCATCTAATTCAATATTATTTGCGTTTCTTTAATTATCTCGTTGCACTGCTGTTATCACAATGATATTGCTTCTGTTGCTACTTTTAGTTTCTTGAGGGCAGGGGGGAATTGATGGCTCGTGGGATGGATTTTTGGAAACCTAAGTTAGGAGAATACACGGACCCTTCGCCGAGCTTGTGTTTATGCCAGTATCCGCCAGAGGTTCACGCCACAGGATATCGGTCAGCTCAGGAAACGGCTTGAACTTTATCACAAATGATGCATTTCTGTTGTTAAAATACGACATAAACTACAATTGGTAGGATTTTCATACGATAAGAGAAAAAAGCGCAAATGTAGTCGTGTGGAAAGACAGAGAGAATGAGTACATCTCAAGCGCGTGAAATAAGGAGCTCCCTATTCTTCGCTTGCGAAATGTCAGCCGAAAAGAATGTTGAACAATCGTGTACGGTGTGGGTACAGGCTACTTAATCAGCATCCTCTTTAGCTGAATTCTTTGGTTATCTTCCCCTGATTTAACTCAGTAGTTATATATGTTCGTAACAGGCGTCTTCGAAGCCGGTACGGAGCATAAGGCCAACGACATTGAAGAGTAAAATCTCCTCGATGTCGACGATCGAGACACGTCCATTTTGGTCATATACCTACATCATTTGGAAATTAGTGTTTAAAAATACCTGATATATGTGTATTATTCTTGTAGCTATCATTTGGCGCTCCGGCCACGCATTACGTCCGTCCTTCTTTCCAGATTTTTCCTTTCTCCACCATAGCTGCCGACGTGTCTTCACATTTTTCTACGTCACAGCGATAACATAATCGTTTTTGGCCGCGCGCTTCATGGAGACAGTTTTTGAACGCTAAATCGTACGTACCTATTCATTCCTTTTAGGTTAGAGAAACCAAAATGAGCAAATAAACGACATATTATTCAAAGCCAAATTTTCTACAATTTTTTTGACACTTAATCGACGGCCATTTTGAAAACGTTCCGATCCAGGCTACGTCTGTAAGGCAGTGAAAAGGGTAGCCTGAAAAACAGGCTTAATTTTGGCGAGCGAGTGCTAAGTATTTTCTGAACGAAAATTATGGCCGCCATCTTTGATTTTAATGGTAGCAGAAGGCTTGGGGAGAGAAAGAAATTTCTACTATGGGGGCGGTCGACGGTCAGAAATAAGAAGAAGAAGGGTGGGGGTGGAGGAGTGAAGATTCTCGCCCCCGCCCCCGCCCCCGCCCCCGCCTCCGCCCCCGCCCACGCCTCCGCCACCGCCCACGCCTCCGCCCCCGCCCACGCCCCCGCCCCCGCCTCCGCCCCCGCCCGCGACTGTTTACTCTAACTCCAAACAGCGTGCTCTTGACATTAGAGACTATTCGGGGAAAACACCCAGACACACCTCAGCGTTACGTTTATCTCGGAGAAACACAAAGTGCCTTAGGCAATTTCTTGTCAGCACTTCAGTTCGATGAGCGCGCTCTTACAGTTTTACAATTAAAATGAAAGATTTTTCGCTACATTTCAACGTTTCATTTTTGAAACTCGATTAAAAAAACATTTCATGTCTCAATATGAGTTTATTTGAGATGAAGACAAGTTTACATTCACTCTATAATATGAAAAAATAAATAAATTCCCACAGAATCAAGGTCTCAATATCCCTGACTTCTCTGCTTTTTTTTTTGTTTACACCATAGTCTTGTTAATGTTCGTGTATCCAGCCCCTACACATGATAGCAAGATTTTACTCTCTCCTCCTGCTACACTGTTGTCGTCATCACTCTGTTGTGCTTGTATTTTGAACATCACTCCAAAAAATTCTTTTAGATGCCTTAAAAATTGAATGCTGTAAAAGAGTTGATGATAGTATTGAGAAAATTAAAAAAAATTACTGAGTAGAAGGAAAACAATAACATTTATAATGAACCTGCAACCACCAAGCCGTCTCTCCCCTCCCTCCCCACTTACTTTTCTCCATTTCTCCTTCCTTCCAACACTTTCCTTTCTTCCTGTCTATCTCACCTCTCTTTCATCTCCTTCTATTCTTCATCATCTCCCTTTCTTCCCTCTCTTCCTATTATCCATTCGACCTTTCCTCTCTATCTGAGCTGCACTCGTCTTCATTTCCCATCATCCTCTACACCTCACCTCCCTGCCACCCTGTCCCTCTCCTTCTTCCTATCTCCCCTCTCTTCTTTATCTTTTCCTTCCTCATCATCTCCTCTCCTTCTCTCTTTCCCTCTCCATCCCTCTGTCTTCCTCCATTTCCCCTCCCTCCCTCCCTGTCCTCCTCTAAATTTCTCTCCCTCCTCCTGCCCCCCTGCTACCTCATTCCCCTCCACTGTGCCCTCCATATACCCCGTATAATGCTTCTATCCTCTCTCCATTCCCCCTCCCTCCCTGTCTCCTCCTTTGTGTCCTCCATCATACTCCCTAACACTGCCTCTTCCCACTTTTCAATCTCTCTGTTTCTCCTCCTTCTCCCTTCTCTCCTTTTTGCAATTGAATGAGAGCCAGACTGATGCCAAGCAGTTAAAAAAATCTTTCCAAATAACACACAACAGATCATAACTCCAGCAAACAGAAAATTGTGTGAATTTATTTACTCTTTTCACTTAGAGACATTATCAACTACTTACGTATATGGAGTCAGTGGACCAGTGAGAATTTTAGAAACATCCCTTTGTCCCAGAATCATGTAAAGGAGAACAACACTCTGATGGCGAGAGTCAACACAGCCTCCCTATCAAAGGAGAAAGATAAATAATAATGGTGAGTCTTATTTCAGAATATACAGCTATACTATAATCATTGTTTTAAAAGCTAGTATGAGCGTAAGGCTGATCACCAGCTGCCAAGAGCTCTTAATGAAGGGCATTTTGATTGAGTGTCGTACATCCAAAACTGAAAGCAATCACAGTAGCCAACCAGAATAAAGGAACATATCATGAGCCAATGAAGGATCCAAGTATAAACAAGGAAACTGACCAAAGCAGGAAAAACCTTACCTTGTAAATTTCTTCAAGTAACATTTCAGCTGCCTGTTTGCCAAGATCCTCAGGGACAACTGGCTGACCCTCCCCTACTGGGGTAGATGATGTCTGAACACTTAGCATGGCACCAGTTGTTGATTCTGCAACTAATGAGATCCCAAACCCTGGTGACCTGGAGGAAGACATTTTTAATCATGATTATCATTAATCTGATGATTTATGGTGTACCATGCTTATGACAAAAGAACACATTGCATCTCTGGTTTTAAGAGACTCTGAAAAGCTTGCTTATTGTAATGTCACCAGCACAACAGAAGTGCACTGACTCAGTTGCATTAGCAAATCTGGGCGCGAGATCTAGCAAGTGCTATAACTTTGCCTTCTTGGACAAGACACCTTACTCTCACAGTTCCTCTCTCTGCTCAGGAGTACGAATGGGTACTGATAACTTCTTAGGTAAAAAATGCCGAGGGCAATTTACAATGGACGGTCACCCCTTCCAGGGGAGGGGGAGGAGTAGTAAAACTTCTCATAAATTTTGCCACTTTGGATATTAAGAAATATGGTTGTCATCTTCTCATGAGCACAGAACAAAGAAAAAATTCTGAGTCCCCATGAGGAATTGAACCTCAAACTTTCAGATTCCACACTCCCATGCTCTACCACTGAGCCACAGAGACTCTAAGGCCCATTATGAATTTCATATATGACACATATCCTGCACTCTGCTAGGATCAGCAATGTCGGTAGCACCACGTTTTGTAAATAGAAGAAGATGGTAAGCTTTAAGCTCAGTAGAGAAATATAGAAAGATAATTTTTTGTCTTGTTGTGGATATTTAATGTATGAATAATGGTGAAACATGCTGATTCCCTGGTAAAAAAGTTAAAGGTTTGTTATAAAATGACATACTTTCCAGATTGACCTCCTTTGCAGTGATCTGTATAAATGTAGATATCGGACACAAACTGGTTCAAAACACCACGGACTGCATCAACCACTCTATTACAAATAGCTGGAGAAACTCTCATAGCATACCTGTTTAAGGTTTGGTTAAGGCAATCAGCTTTTATCAAAAAAAAATAGCGATCTATGTGAAATGGTCTCTATAACAGTAAAAACATTATCACAACAACTCAAAATATATTTTATTTTGACAGCAGCAATACTAGTCGTAGAAGAAGTCGTTGAAGCTAAAATCATAAATTATTTAGGAGAACTGCGCCAAGAGCAACTTTTGGTAAACTGACTTAAAAAGTGATAATCTATAGAAAGTGATAATTTATAGAAACTGGCTTTAAATACAAGAGGACTTTGAATTAACAGGCAGTATGGAAATGTGAGAAAAGGTGTGCCTGATGAGGAAAAATGCTGACAAATTTAACAAAAAACACTATCAAGGAGGTATGAAAAATATAAAGAATGATACAAGTCAATACGAATTACAAGAAAAATAATAAGCAAGCAGTTGATCTTACAGTCTCTGTAATAAAGTTATAACACTTATACCAAGGGAAAAAAGTAAAGGATACGCAAGGCCTCTTATTCTTTTTATCTTGCCAGGATCTGTGAATTGTAATGGCCGCAAGTTTCTCCTCACAGGACAAGAGAATACCACCTCCCCTCCTCCTTCTGGAGGTGCTCCCCTTTTCACAATCTGTGACAAAAAAAAGTCAATGAAATGATAATATTATATTTCATAGTGTTTTGAACAGCCATGTAAATCAATTGCAACAAATTAAAGAAATTGATGGAAAGGAAAGGAGTTCAAATCCAATGAGATTGTCTTAGACACCAATTTTGCCGTGGCCAATTCCATTGTTTTGGTAAAAATATGGTCCTGATAATGTTTGGTAAGAATGATCTACTGCAGTCCTCTTTCCTCTACTAACCACAAAAAAGCACTTTCACAATTTTATTTGACTCAATATTAATTTTTGATGTACTTCATCTTTTGTCTTCCTCTTTGATCTAAGCCATTTTAGTTATGCCTAGTTTAGTGAATAACTTTTTATCCTAAATTAAGGGGCACTATATGTCAGGTATCTTGATGTGCGCCTCTACTCTCTGCTCTAATATTTCAATATACATATTGTATATTGTATATATGTATATATTGAATATATACATAGAATTGCTTAGTTATTATGATGACCTTGTTAATTACATAACTTAGCTTACTACTTCAAGGAGAGGAGATATATTCAATCATGTTGAAAGAGGCAGCTGAGTCATATTATTTAACTTTCTTTCCAACTAAGTTCACTGATGGTACAATTAATGCTTGACTCAATCTTTTGCATGTGTTAAAATTCTACTTGGAAAATCATTAATAATGATAATAATAATAATAATAATTAAATTCATTAATAATAGCTAATGATACCTTTAAATCTAAGTCTTCATCGTCCACCACAAACTTCTTTACCAGAGGGAGCGTAACTGTTTTAATGATGTCAACCTAAAATAACATAATTCAGCAATCATCAAATTCTAGGAAAGGCACATTTCTCAGAAGTAATCTAATTATGCACCTCTATACAAGCTCATTTTCCATCTTATTTTTGTCTACACTGTTAGATATGAAATGAGAGTTTTTACAAAACAGAGAGAAACTGGAAAATATCAACAGAAAAATTTGAATTAACATTTGATCTTTTTTGTATTTAACTCTTTACAACCTCACATCAGTATCCATATTTGACATACTGTTTGATTCTTTATATATTTGCTTTGGTGATGACAAGGAAAATTTGTCCAACAGTCAAAGCTTCTTGTGTTGGTGATCATTTCTGTTATTCTCATGATCTTCTTGAATTATACAGCAGTGTACTTTAAGGAGAAGTTAGAAGCTCATCACTCTGAGGGCTTAAAGGGTCAATTCTCGGCAATAAAAAAAAAAGATATTATTTCTGGCTTACTGTTGGATCATGTCTGTCATTTGTTATTCCTTTCAGAGTAAGTCTGATAGGTTTCTTGCAAAATGGTGCCAGCAGCACCACTGCTTCTAGGTAATAACCAATGGATCTTTGAGGATTACAGTCATGGTCAATGGTTCCTCCAGTTAACAGGCCAGGTTTATAAAACAGCATTGTACCTTTGGAAAAGGAAACAGAATAACCAAACATGAGGGTAATATAGCTTTAATAATTTGGCCCCATTAGGAAGGGGGGGGGTCCAGGTGTCCCCTATAGTATTAATGTTTGGCTTAAACATCCTGTATCCTATTACTTCCTGTAGTTTCTATCCTAAAATTCAAGTTTACATCCCAGAATATAATTATATTTTAAACATCCCTTTAATTTTTTCCTTAAGTATCCCGTACCCCTATAATGTTTTATTCCGTATCCTGATAACCCCTAATAGGACCTCTATAATGGACATTACCTGGCCGGGCAGTGCTATCATTCATTAAAATCTTATAAACAAATAACAAAAATTATCTGATAAATTATCTGAAGACTTACCTGTTTCATTAATTTCTATTCGTGATCCGTTTGTTACCTTGTCCAGGAGCCGTATAAAACTTGCTTCAAAGTCTTTAAAGGGTTACATAGACAGCAAAAATTCTCAAATTAGACAACAAAACACGAAGCATATTTTATATAAGTTTTTTAAAGCCGAAGTCAGCAGCTGAAAGGGCTGTGATTTCTTAATCAGTTCGATAATGGACGCACCTTTCAGCCCAGGATCGTCTTCAACAGCTCTTATGTTTTTTATTTTCACCGATTTACCGCTAAGCGTCGCCAAAACAAGTCTTTGTCGGAAAAAATTACAACCTTCGTATGTCAAATCAGCCGCCATGTTGAAAAACGCACGTGGGTGACCTTTCCACTTGTCATATATCACGTACTCTTTTACTCTGGATTTTGCTGCTGGACCAGTAACTTACGTTTTCGTTCAAAATGGCGGACGACGATTTGGAAGGGTGAGTGGTAATGACATTCCAAATCAGCGAATCTTGAGATCTTTTCCGCAGTGATTCACTTGTAGACAACTTAATATCGAATTAACGTTTTTTCGCATTTTATATGTCGATCAAAAGTCATTTCTTGTCGCAGTGGTTGATAACAGTGGAAACGAAGCAATCGTTGTCTAATTTAATTTCTAACAGCAAAAGTCGCGATGGAGAACTTTCTCGATTTTCTTCCAGGTATGATGATGACCTCGATGAGGTCGAAGAAGAAGACCACTTTGAAGATGTAGATGACTTAGAGGTAAGCTTTCTAGCCATTATTTTCTGAATAAGTTAATTTAGTGGATCCACCATAATTTTGACAACGCACGTGTAATTTCGGTTACATTTGAGTCAAACATCACTTACTGATTATCAGAATCAAATAAATGGAAATTTTTAGTTTGATATAGTAACGATACTCTCAGAGAGGATAGTAATGATCTTTTTCCCGACAATGTAGAATGACGTCCCAGTTTGAAGGCACTTACATTTCTTTCAAACTCAGAAAACCATCGTGTCCGTAATAATAATGTGTCATGACCAATCATATGTGAGATCAGGATATGTAGGCAAAATTAAATACTAGAGCACAAACTAATCAGCGTTGACTGCGTGAGGTTGAGATTTTTCACACCTGACTGACGGCTGGCTGCCATGTTTTCTTGGATACATCAAATTTTATAAAGTAATATTTCTGAAGTTCATGGTTTTCTGAGTTTCACAGTAATCAAAAGTGGTAAAATACTTCTTTATAGCTATTTTCCTTTCCTGGTGGAGGTTGTATCTAATATCCTACTGTGTTTTTTTTTTCAGCCAACAGAAGACACAGATAATATTGACATTTTGCCCACAACAGGTATGGTTTGCAATAATTTTTAAACAGTGTTCTATAAAATCTCAGTTAAATAAGGTAATCCACTAGAACAAAGCCAAAAACTCGAGAGGTTGTGGCCACTTAGCCTTAAAGAGTTAACCATGTTAATTATAAGACACAGGATGAGGAAATGTTTCTTGCATTTCATTTTATTCAAGTAGGGAAGTTACATGATCCTTCAAGGTTGCTACTACAACCTTCATAAGTGAATGTCTCACAATGTCAGGCTGAAGAACATTTTGTTACAGTTATTGGACAAATTTAATTGCTTAAATGTGATATTAGTTCGCACTTTTTATGTCAATTTGCAGAAGAAAGCCAAGAACCAACAAAAAGAATCACAACACCATATATGACAAAATATGAGAGAGCAAGAGTATTAGGAACTAGAGCTCTACAGATAAGGTACTTGACCCTTTAACTCTCAGAAGTGATTAATATGTAATTTCTCCCTGTAATATCCATACATTATTCAGCAAACAGGTCATGAGAATATTCAAACTCATCAGGTACAAGATATTATATTACCTTGATTGAACACCAAATTCTTGTAACCAATTAACAAGGAAATGTGTTGCAGCTAGAGGGGAGAATTAACAATCAGATCTTGGGAGTTAAAGGGTTAGTTAACTCAACAAATAAAGATTGTTAAAGACTTAATGGCAGGGATAGAGATCTTGAGTTATACCTTGGCTACAGACTATTTCAGTCCATTCTGGCAAGACCACAATTTTAGGAACTCAATTTTATCTGTTGTGTTTTGATAACCAGTATGGGTGCCCCTGTTATGGTGGAACTTGAAGGTCAGACAGATCCTCTACAGATAGCCATGAAGGAACTCAAGTAAGAATTTTAATGAATTTTTTTTAACCCTTTAACTCCCAGAAGTGATTAACATAAAACTTCTCCCTACAATATCCATACATTCTTCAGCAAACAGGTAATGAGAATATTCAAGCTTAACAAGTTGAAGCTGCTATCTTGATCCAGCACCAAATTCTCAAAACTAATTTACAAGGAAATGTGTAGCAGCTACAGGGGAGAATTAACAATCAGATCTTGATTGTTAAAAGGTTGACCAGAGTATTTAAGCCAAAACTTACAGCATAAGTAGTTTAACAGCTAGTACCAAGTTGTCTCAGCAATGTAATCCAAAGAGAGCTTTTAATATCTCTACTTAGATCTCTGTTTTGTGAGAGTTGATGTGTGCTAAACCAGAATAAACTTCCACATGGAAATCAAGGGTTACTTATCTATAGTGGCCAGCATAGCCAATGGGATTGCAGTGTATGTGATATAATGCATGCAGATTTATTCATTAGACTATATGATAACTGAACCTGGAAAAATAATTGCAGGAGCACATCAATTACAGAAGTTGTAGGCCTCTTAATTCTTTTTCGATATTATTTCAGAGCAACAAACATCCCCAGACAAAAGCCACAAAGACTGGGCGATAGATGAATTTATCATCACAGAATAAAACTGCATTGGCGGTAGTTTAGTTGTCAGCAGTTATTTTATGTTTTTGATGTGCTTCTTTGTTCATTTTATGTCCATAAACTAAAATTCTTCATTTTCCTTTTTTTTTTTCACCCCACCCATGAGAGTTCTGTACATCTGCAAGGTTTTATATCAGGGTTACACTCAAGTGGAGGAACAAAATTTTCTGAGAGAAAAAAAAGTTTTCATCTGATCATGTACATCCAATATTCTGCTAATGTTGTGACATTTTACACGATTATTCGATGCCTGTGCAGTCAAACATTTAATGTTGATTCTTGTTCAAGTCCAGCCACTGAACATTAAAAATTTTGAATTTTTAAAAAATGTTTGGCATCCAACTCTTGTTTTTTTTTTTTTTAACACATTTATTCCCAAGATCTTATCTTCCCTGTAAATTATTTGGGAGAATTTGATGTAAGATGGAGATAACAACTTCTACCTGATAAGTTTGAATTTTCTCACTATCTGCTTGCTGGATATTGCGTGGATATTTTAGGGAGAAGTTACATGTTAATCACTTTCAGGAGTTAAAGGGTGAACAAAATGTTTTCCTTAAGATGCATGTAATAAAAGGAAGGTTACATAAACTGTTAATCATATCTTGATATTCAAATAGAGAACTATTATGTAATATTTGTTACAATTCCAAATATAGGAATTTAGAATTGAATACCTTATTTCATCAATAAACTATTCTTAAAAAAGTGCTCTAAAATAAATAATGACCAGTCTCAGGAAGCCCCCCCTGCTCCACAGCAAATTATTGCATTTTCTTTTCCCATTTGTGACCTGGCCCTATTCATTTTTGCTGCAATTTTTATTTTTATTTTAAATAGATTCTTCAGGAAGCTCCACCTGTAACCTCTGTTTGCCCAGCTTTGTCTAAAGAGGACCATATTGTATGTGCAGTAAATCATTTAAATGTGCAATAAATCAGAAAATGAGGTCAAAAGATTTGAAAGACCTCAATTTCTCCCTTAAAGAGGATGTCATTCCTCCAGGGTTTTACTAACTGGAGGCGAAAGTAAAGAAGTAGCACCACCTTTCTTTTTGGCTACAGAGCAACAGCTGAGTCAGCTAGCTGCAACAAAAACTTGGTACACTAACAGAAATGACAAGATAGTTAAAGACCCAAGTTTCACTAACTTGTAACAATTAGTGCTTTTGTTACATCTGGGGAGTCTGCAAAACAAGTGCCATTAGTGATGCCTTAATGTCCTCAAAGAAGAAGAGAGATTACAAGGAGGTTAGTATACATATAACTCCCTTTAAATGCTCATTCTTATCTTTTTAAAAGGAAAATAATGGTTAGAGCACTCTTCAAGTGCAATTTCTAATATCAAAACCGAAGTTACCTTGACAGCCAATTGGAACAAAGGATGTGCTCATGTAAGGACAAAAAAACTTTCTTTGAATGCATTATTGTTCCTTTATCTATCAGATTTTGAGAGAGATCATCCATCTTCTACCTGGGGAATGGCTTCATGTGCAATTTGTTACAGCAGATTTTGACAAGGCATTGTGGGGAGCACATCAGTCTGTTGTCCCACATGTAAAGCTGCAGGGATGTCCTCTTGACTGGACCCAGTTGGTGTGGAAAAAGGTAAATGGAATTTGTCAAGTTAAGTTTCATGCACATGTATCATCATCTGAGCTCCTTGCACCAGCAGAATTACAGCATAAGGCCATCAAGCTCTTTGACCAACCTTCTCTTTTCTTATCAGCCACCCTGACATGCTCCTCCTCTTTCACTCTTACATGTACCCTTCCCAATCATCTGGGACAAGTTTGTCTTGTAAAAGACTGTTTTAAATAGAAAGTGATTGATGATTTCCTCCTCTGGTTGTCAAAACATTTATTGCTGTCAGTCTTTTTCATGACAACTCTCACCTGGACAATTAGACCATATGAGCAATATTTTATTTGCAATATATGAGCAACAACAATTTGCTAACAATGGCATCCAAATGAACACCAGGATTGCCTAACCTCAGGGGCAGGTTCATGCATGGTTTATCTTTGTAATAGGGCAAAATGCTTAGTCGAAACAAGCTTTGCATTTGTTTATTTTTTAAGTCATAATTATGCTTACAAACCTTTTTTAATTAGAGATAATATTTATGCTCTCCATCGATGCAAAGACTAAAATTTTTTTGGCTCATATTTTTATCAGATGCAAGATCTTGGTCTGCAAGCACTGTGCATTGAGGATAATGGTATGCACAGGTACATTAGAAAACTGCTTGCATTACCCTTACTGCCTGGCAAAGAGATTTCTACTCAGTTCTAGCAACTGAAACTACAGGCAACCACATAGACACTTCAGGAACTAATAAAATACATTGAGGACACATGGATCACTAACATTGTGTACCCGATTAGAGATTGGTCTGTCTGTTGTCGGCCAATGAGAACAATGAATGTCATTGAAAGCTGGTTGAAGGCTCTCAGTGGTGAAACTGGTAGGAAAGGCCAAGTTCCTTTTTACACTCTAGTTCAGTCACTGCATCAAGTGGCCCAACTTTCTGTTCAAAATGTGCAGTTAGTAAGTGACAAAAAGTTGATCAGGATTCAACAGCAGGATTGCCATCACTTGCAGTCATTGATCAGTCAGTATTGGACTGAGTTTAGGAAAAGAAAAATAACAGCAGCAAAACTTCTAAAGGTCTGTTCCAAGCTCAATGGGTCATCTCAAACTGAATCTTGACTTTCATACATCATGAGATTTTTGTAGTTCATTAATAAGCTTGTATTTATTTCTAACACTGATGTTATATACCAGCAGAAGCCTAGAATCGACTGGTAATGTGTAGAAGTTTACTTGCCATGATTTTTTAAAAATTTATTTTATCATAATCAAAATGTCCTGTTTTTTGCATTCAGTTTTGTATCTTGTAAAAAGTATTTTTGGGAAAATGTACGTAGCAGTTGTGTATGAGAAATATTATCATTAAACACACATGAAGGGGAATGTTGTTTATTTATTGGTTGTGGTAGATGTGTCAAAATCTTTTACAGCAGTGATGAGTTTCTTTAACTTTTCCAGAAAATATTTTTACCTAGGTTAAAAAGAAATCTAATATATTACAGTTCAAAATTATTGAGCATTAATGATTACTGCAAATTATTAATCTTTTAATATTTATTATTTCTACAGTGTTGCAATACATATTGTAAGATGTACTACCACTGTTAATGTTGTAAACATTGTTTGTAACGAGTATCATAATTCCAGTGTACAAGGTTGTAAGTGTTTCTTCGTTGTTGCAAGAAGAATTATTAACATATTGCATTGCCTAACTTGAGTATGGCAGCAGTGTAATATGGAAAGAGGGGAAAATTCTATAACTTAAGATAGCCACAGATTATCCGAACAAATTGACTCGTTACACAGTTTGGTCTCTGCCCTGCCACATGTTACAAAACAAGCCTAAACATTTGCTGCAGGGAACATCCAAGAAAGTGTCTTCTACCTTGTTTCTACCTTGTGTGCCATTGACTCGCGCGACTGGTTCCCAGGGTTCTGCCTTCCCCCATGGAGATAGAGGCTTGGCAACGAGGTTGTCACTCGTGGCCAATCCAACGCAAATTCCAATTCGACCTGGAAACAGTGGTCACCTCCAAGAATATCCACTGATAAATTAAATTCTTATTATGATTATTATTATTATTATTATTATTATTATTATTGATAAAACTACGATCAAATATAACTTTATGGATAAGACTTCTTAATCAGATTAGTGCGACCTCCAAAGAATCTGATTGAAAAAGTGACTATGTTAATAAAAGACTGAGTCTCCATACAAGAGGACTGCATATTTACCTGCAGTACGAAAGTGTGTTAAAGAGAGGGTGTAACTGACGAAAGACGATGACAAACTGAACAGAAAACATTAACGAGGAGGTGTAAGAAAAGAAAGAAAAGAAAAGAAAAATAAATAGTTGTAAAACTAATTAAAAGACGCTTAGATCTTGCACTGGTAGTTATGAGAGAGGTCTCTGATTAACGAGATTTGTGTTTATTAACATTTCTTAGGCGATGCTGTTGTTTTTGAAAAGCCTATTTGGAAGTACTAGAAGACTTTTCTGGAACCTTGATCACTTCCAACGATGATTTCACGAGGGGCGAAAATTGCATTGGGAGCATCGTTCTCTTTTGCCTCTGCTATCATTTTCCTGGTCCATGAAATGCAAACTGCTGATCGTAAGAGGCTCAGAGAAGGTGTGATCAGAGATTTAGAACGACAAGAGAAAAAGAGGAGAAACCTTGAAGAGTTAGAACAACAGATCGAACTAACAAAGAAGTTACAAGAACAGAGAGACAAATGATCTGTAATTTCCTCACTAAGAGAACTTCACAGAACTTTGTAGGGACCATAACTCAATTGTCTTATGGATTAAATAAATATACTGTGCAGTTTTGGTAATTCAAAAGTGAAGCGAAGATATAAGATCTATATACGACAGAAAATTATTTAAAATAAGCTTGCAAGATCTTGTTTCAGTCACCTGCTATGGTCACGTTACCAAACGATTTGGAGTAAAAATTATTGTTTGTGTGATTTGCTGAGGTCTTCTGTTTATATCGTCACCACTAACTGACAGCCTGGCACAAGTTACTGGTTCTTTCACTTTGATCTAAGAATAGTGGTGATTTGCGTTCTCGAAGATAGCGTATAAAAAAGGATGGATTTTTTCCTCTTGTTTTTTTTCAGGCGAGCACAAGCCGAACGCGGGTCGAACCAGAAACGCGCGTAGTGTGGAGCGTGAAAAAAAATCGTTCCTACTCTATCGCGTGTTTTGCTTAATGCTGCTTGCTTGAAAGATGTAAGACAAATATTAGACTGGAAAACTCAAAAAGCGTCTGCCCTAGATGTAAGATTTGCAGATTGTAATTGTTATTTCTGTCAAGACGGCTGAGTTAGGAAATTTTGAAGAGCATTGTTCAGGGTGGCCATGTTTATTTCGAAACGGAAATTGAACAATACTAACTGTATTATCCAGATTAAAAGGGAAATTTCCCTTCTTAA